TTTGCCCGCTGCCTTCGCGTTCTTGGCTATTATAGCCAACACCAAAGGGTTCCATATTTGCTCTGATTCAGACAAGCAAAAATATAATATACATATTCCGATTCCGATTCCCATTTCCATTCCCATTCCCGCACCCACAAACTTTTGCGGTTTATCTGCAGCGATCCTATCACATGACTTGGGCCTGCGGTCTTCAGAGTGATTTTACTGGCACGTGACGCGGTTCTCCGTGTCAATGTTTGCCCCACCAGTAATTAAAAAGAATCCACATACACGCACATAAATCGCAAAAAATGCAGCAAACAGGGGAACAGCAAATACTTGTGTTGCCTCAGCCAGCTGGTCAGATAAAAGGTCTATGCAAATATTATGAGTGCCAGTTGGGCAAAAGATTGTAAACTCTGGTGACACATCCATAAATAAGATGCTTGCTTAATGCTTCAGTAAACGCGAGTATATCCAGCCATAAAAATATAAATTCTTTGATTAGTTTCAAAGTCCAGTCTCCAGTTGAATTAATGAAGTCTTTCATAAGAGTTTTAATTCTAATGAGCAGCTAATAGACATCATTTCGATTTAGGTAGCAGCAACAATTAGAGTCTATTAGAATGGAATGAATAATCATAAAGAATGATTCATAATTTGAAATGATATTGCGGTCATTTGAAACTTCTATTTCCATTAGCCGCCTTAATGATCGAATTAATGGATTAAACGGATTCTTCAATTCCTTCCACATTCATTAGCCTTCATTTCCCTGGACATTAATCAACTTATCGACCAGCCTAATGACCTTTTAATAAGCCCCAAAGGAGTACTTGCATGAATTGATTTTAGTTGATTTATTGTTTCTTATCGACGAATTAGCACGTAGTTAAGTTGGTAAATTCGGGAAAACAAATACCTAATGACTTTGTGGACCTTTACTTACCCGTCCCATTCAATGTCCTTCCAGGACCTGCCCACTGGGCCAAGGACTACCCACAAGCGTCGGGACACCGTCAGTCGCCCGTGGACATCACACCCTCCAGCGCCAAGAAGGGCAGCGACCTGAAGGTAGCTCCGCTCAAGTGGAAGTATGTGCCGGAGAACACCAAGAGCCTGGTCAATCCTGGTAAGATATTTGCAGTAAACGTACTGCAGTGCTTGACATCAATTGTGTTAGTTACAAAATTGTATATATCTGCACTTATTTCACAGAAATATTTACCCATACTATTTGTTATTCCAGGCTACTGCTGGCGCGTGGACGTAAACGGCGCCGAGTCCGAGCTGACTGGAGGACCGCTGGGCGATCAGATCTTCAAGCTGGAGCAGTTCCACTGCCACTGGGGCTGCACAGACTCCAAGGGATCCGAGCACACCGTCGATGGAGTGTCCTATGCCGGCGAGCTGCATCTGGTCCACTGGAACACCACCAAGTACAAGTCCTTTGGCGAGGCGGCTGCCGCTCCTGACGGCCTGGCCGTGCTGGGTGTGTTCCTGCAGGCTGGCAATCACCATGCCGAGCTGGACAAGGTGAGCAGCCTGCTGCAGTTCGTCCTGCACAAGGGCGATCGCGTCACCCTGCCCCAGGGCTGTGATCCCGGCCAGCTGCTGCCCGATGTGCACACCTACTGGACGTACGAGGGCTCCTTGACCACTCCACCATGCTCTGAGTCGGTCATCTGGATCGTGTTCAAGACGCCCATCGAGGTGTCGGACGACCAGCTGAACGCAATGCGCAACCTCAACGCCTACGACGTGAAGGAGGAGTGCCCCTGCAACGAGTTCAACGGCAAGGTGATCAACAACTTCCGCCCTCCGCTGCCGCTGGGCAAGCGTGAGCTGCGCGAGATCGGCGGCCACTAATTTCGAAGAAATTCGGCCACCACTCCTTGGATAGTCAACGGATTCGAGTCGTATGATTAGCTGTTCGCACCCACACACATCCGTACACCTAGAGCTGGACCGGCATATCCCACTGTTCAATTCTCGTCTTTAGTTCGTACGCCCAGCAAAGCATGCCTCCTATATGTGCATCCGTATTCGTATTCGCATCAGTGGATGTCTAGCTGTAAACTTAATTGTAAATGTACGCCTGTTTGTTTGTTAAACGTTTGCAAAATGACAATTAGATTAATGTTATTATGGTATTATAAACTAAATATAACACGCTTAGATGTTGCATATGATAAGCCACCTGCCTTTGAATTCAGTACTTTTATGGGAAAGCTATAATCCAACGTCATCTCGTCTCCAATAAAGACATTTCTAGCGAGTAAACAATGTTTTGAGCAGTATATCCTATGTCGTTGGGTATATATCACATTAGTTGTTAGAAAATACGCTGTTCTAAAATGCTTTGAAAGAAATCCAGTATCATCAATCTGAAGGTCATGGTGCAGACAGATATTAAACTCCAATGTTCCCAACTTCTACAATAAATTTGAAAATTTAAATGCTTACGCACTGAAGTAACATCTTGTCCTCGTTTGATTGGCATCAAATGTCATTTATTTGGCAATGGAGTAAAGTCTAGCAACTCGTGCGGTTTTGTGGTCCATTGGAGAAAGTATTTCTCCTTAATTTCCCGCCAGGCAAACTGATAGTCTCTGGCCGAGTCCTTACAGCCAGCATATGTAATACGTTCAAGATCGGAAAGCGGTGGATCAAACTTATCGCTTAGCTTAGGATTCAGCTTAAGTAACTCTAGAAATGTGAGGAACAGCTTGTACTTGCTGACTGCCAGGGCAGCCTGAGAAGTGTTAAACTTTTTCTTGGTTACTCCTTGACGCTTTCCATTCACGGAAATTTCATAGGGCCTGTGTGTAAAAAATATATTATTTGAGCTGAAAGTGTTTAGTTTAAAGATTACTTACTTTAATTCTTCTGGGACTTGGGACCAAATCAACCCATTGGGGGAGGGCTGCCAGTCGGAGCGCTGGGAAAACTCAAATCTTATGCCAGGATCGATGCGTATTCGTGGTGTTTGAGGCTGGAACCGCGGGTGCTTGAATGGTCTACATTTCCAACGTTTAAAGATGGCACGTTCCAAAGCTTCCAGCTGCGCATCGTGACTGCAAAAGTTCATGCTGCTAAAGTAGATGGGTTTGGAGATGAAGGTATCCAGTAGTGCCCCCTGCACGCCTAGGACATTCCAACGGGCTATCTTATCACTGCACGACATGGAGAGAGTGCGCTCTCCACGTCCTGGTTTCGTTCGCAGAGCTCCCGGCGTCTGCAGCATTGGATCATCACTAAGGTCACTTATAAGCTTGGCGCCCGTGAAGACCATCTCGGAATCTTCCTCCAGTCGCTGGCGTTTGGCCTGCCCTGGTTGCTCTGCTTCCAGGATACAGGCATCTCCGCAAGGCGTTTGGGTGCTCAGAAAGTGAAACTCCACGTGCTCATCCATGTCGTAGGTACTTAGTGTGCTGTTCCAATGGAAGATCCTATCCTGCTTGAGCTCCTGGTATAGAAAGCGCAGAAAGCCGCGACGCGCCAACACCTCGGCATGGGAATCATTTAGGATGAGGCCATTGGCACAAAGTTTAGATTCTCCAATGCACTTGGTTCCGCATCCAAGGGACACTAATTGACATGTTTCCGTTTGCCGGTTGAACTCCACGATTCCCGCCAAAACGGTCCATTGATTGGCTGCGGGCTTTCCTGTTTTGGGCAAGGAATTGAATGCCTTGAAACAAAGTTGTGCTATTTCCTGAACCGTCGGTTTGTTGTTATCACACATTTTTGTTTATGTTCCCGATGTGTGAACCGATAAGTTTGGTAATCGAATATTGTATTCGATTGGTGAATTGCATTGTTTACCTTGTATTTGCACACTTTGGTCACATTGTTAATTTATTTGTTTGAGGTGTTTCATGAAATCGGGAAATAGTTAAATTTTGTTACCTTTATAAAACCAGTGCCCACAATTAACAATGCCCAAAGTAGTGTCGCGCAGTATCGTCTGCTCCGACACCAAGGATCAGGAGGAGTACAATGAGGAAAAGCCGCTAAACATTTACTACTGTTTGTGCAACAAGATGGCTCTGATTCTGGGCAAGATTACTGAATTCACCTAACCGGAAGAATAGTCCATAATGGTAGCCTATTTTACAGACTGCAACCTGGACCAGTTGCCGCTGCGGGAGGTGGACAACGCCCGTGTGATAAACGCCAACGAGCATGCCAACAAACTCACCTACAATCCCACACCAAGGATGGTCTACATCAAGCGAAGGAGCAAGGGTAATGGGATAGAAAAGCAGTACCGCTACAAGGTGAGCAGCTGACCTCCACTCCTCACCCGTGTAGCTCATCAAACGTTTTCCTTTATCCTCCAGTGCCGAAACTGCAATCTGCCACTATACTATCGCCACAGTCCAGACTCCCACGTAACCTTCGTCATGTTTAATGCCCTGATCCGAAACAAAGGCGAAAGTCCTCTCAGCCAGCTGCTGAATTCGGAGACCAAGGGCAGTGCCAAATCACCGGCTGCCAAGCCAGCGTCTTCCGCAGGTCCTGACGATTCGGGCATTGTGGATGCCAGTGGCAAGAAGGTCATGGTCACTAGGCACACGAAGAACATGGGCAAGTTCAGCTCGGTCACGGTGTCCACTATCGATGAGGAGGAGGACGAAATCGAGGCGGTGAGTTTGTTACCTAAAGCTGCTTGTAAATGGTGCAGGAAATCCGATTCAAAACACTATCACTGCCCCATTTACGAAGAGACCTACAGCACTGTGAAACTAACCATTTTGTCCATTAAACAGCGCGAGATCGCCGACAGCTATGCGAACAACGCAAGAATCATCGAGAAGCAGCTGCAGCGTAAGGGCGGAAAACTGAGCGATGTGGGAATCAAAAGCAAGACGGAGGACGCACCTCCACCGCAGAAAAAGCAGCGCGGCACACTGCTGGAAAGATAGTCACATTTTTCCTTCTTATATAGCACCACTAAATATATTTCACGACACAAAGGGCTGTTACTCTTGAACATATTCCAATTTACCTAGTTATAGCATGCGCAAATAGTTTGATGCATTTCTATACCGTCGTTTCGGCAGCAAACTGGGATGTTGTGCCAGTAGCTCCTTGAGTCGCTGCTCGGCGTGCTGGTGATTCAGAATTGAGTCCTTGACAAGTCCGCAACTGGGACACAGATTGTATTGCGACTTTGACTCTTTGACGATCGTTGGCCGCATTCGGGTCTCCATAACCAGCTTCATCCGATTCGTGGTACGCGGTGAGTTGTGCAGAGCAGTGAGTGGACGGCATTTACTTCTTGGTGACAATTCGGCCTGTTCCAAAGCAGCCTTCTGCTTGCTCCTGACCAGCTCGATGGCCCGATCCACTCGGGCTTTGGCCAGCTGCACTTCAAAAGGTGCCTTGGGAACCCTATAAATATAGTGGGTCCACTTATCGCGCTGCTGCTCCACGCCCTCCGAGCTGAATAGTAAGCTGGAACAGTTGGAGCTCTTGGGGTCCCATTCTGGGTTCCGGATACTACTCAACTTATAAGCGGACATATCCTGAAAACTCGATTATTTAAACACTGCAAATTTAACAACAAACTGAAAGTCTACATATGTAAATCTAGCTATCTGCATGAAGCTTGCCCAGAAATCTTTTATCTGTCGCATGTAGTAAGGATAAACGTCGAAATATCATATAGCTTCCATTGGAATAGTCAAAGAATAAAGAATATTAACAAATGTTCTCAAGTGTTCAGTTTACATAGGATATTTTTTAAATAGATACTGACTGCCAGGGTATAGAAGCTTCGACTTGTTGAAGCCAGCTTCCTTTCTTGTTTTTCAATGTTGCTCCGTACTTGTTTCATACGCTTAATTGATTTAATTGAACACAATGTGCTTGAGGATCCTCTCCGTCCAACTCCAATTGATCTCAAGTTAGTTTTCGATCGAGAAGCGTTGGAATCGGATGTGCCTTACATTTTTCAGATGAAACTCGATATGCATGTTACATATGTCCTGACGATTGTACTTATGATGGTTGGAGTTCCAGCTCAGGGAGTTAATTGCGATGGAGGGGACTGTCTTCCGTATCATCGTTGCTTGTATGCCAAGAAGTTGAAGAAGGTGCCATACTGTGCCGATGGATCCGTTTGCTGCAGGGCACCTACGAGACCCACGTATGATTCGCCATCGAAAAGAGGTGGGTACCTTCCAGTAGCCAAACGAATAAAAATACTATTCAATAAGCAAAACATTTAATATATAATGTAAACATTAATCAATATTCATTTATACATAATCAATGCTGCTAAGCCTGCCAGGAGTATTCAAACGACCAGTCTTTCTGCCCACCGGAGCTGCTCATTTCCAACGGCAATAGGACCGACCGACATGAGCGTCAGTACATGGCTGTGATCGGGAAGAGGAGCAGGGGAAAGGCGATGGCGACAGCGAACCCGGAATGGATATGCGGCGGCACCGTCATTCACAAGAGATACGTGCTAACTGCGGCCCACTGCGTCCTGCTCGTGGATGAAGATCCGTATGTGTGGTTTGGCGTAGTGCCACTATGTCGTTGTCTGAAGCGCCTTACTCTTTTGCAGAGACTTCTTCGTTGGTCTGGGTGCTTACCACAAGAGTGAGAGCCAGGTCTATCAAGTAGTCAACGTGACCCATCACCGGGACTACAACCAATTGACCTGGGTTAATGATATTGCCCTGCTGCAACTGAATGAAAGCATAATTTTCAATGAAAAAATCAAGCCAGCCTGCCTGGCCACGTCTCCAGTGGGGGGTCACGAAACGCTGACCGTTAGCGGATGGGGTTACCTGGACTCCGTCAGCAAAAGGCAGCCCGATGAGCTGCGCAAGGCAGACTTGCAGGTACTCAACATTTCGGACTGCTCCAGGGCCAGCACGGATCTGCACATTTGCGCCGGCGGAGCCAACAACATCAGCGACGTGTGCCGCGGGGACTCCGGAGGACCATTGGCCAAGTGGCATCCCCAGTGGGGCGGCTGCCTGGGTCAGGTGATCGGCATTGTATCCAATGGCGGACTATGCGATGCCCAATATCCGCGTACCAAATTCACCAACGTTTATTACTATGTCGAGTGGATTGAAAGTATCGTTTGGCCTTCCAAAGTTAAGAAATAATTGTAATTGATTTTCTGAATAAGGTTTGCACTATGCAGCCACTTTTTTGGTGGCGGCAGTAATTGCTCTCTTCCCGCTCGCATAAAATTGAGAGCATAAAAATCTAAAAATAGAATTCACTTGCTTATCAGCTGTCACAGTCCACTTGCAATGCTTAATAAGTAAAACTTTTATAATTTTGTTTAAAATATGTATCAATTTTATGCACATAACAGTCATTATTTGAGTGAAACCATAATGAGAAATCGCTACTTTCATATGTGCACTTAATGCATTGCTCTACAATAAATTGTTTTATACACCGTTGTTTTTTATTATTTTTAAAAATATTTTCAAAAACTTTAATGTGTATTTTGCAGATATTAAAAAAAAGGTCAGATGGTGCCTTTAGTTTTCCAAAGTCCGATTCTATCGGGTAGTTTTTCTCATGTATGAAAAGCTCAGATGGAACTGTTAAATGCTAAAATTGCGAGGTTTTTAAAAATATCAAATAACAAATATATAACGAATATAACAAAAACATTCAACATATGAAAATTGGTCATTTACATAAGTTTGCATTTTTTTTTTACTTGTATACTTGTATAATTTGCACTAATAAATATACTAAATAAATAAAAAACTTCATATGCAACCTGTTTATTGCAAAATTGAATTCTTGAGGCAGGACCAGCGCACCTAAGAATCACTAAGATCAAATATATTTTCCACGTCGCGGGCTGAATACTCTGTATGTATGTATGCATGTATGTATGTATGTATGTATGTATGCATGTATGTATGTATGTATGTATGTATGTATGTATGTAGTGTATGTGTTACGTGCACTAAGTAGTAAAAATTGTCTTAATTAAAGCCTGAATAAGGTTTAACTTACTGTCGGAACACATAAGTATTGCCGCTTTTAATATTTGCTTAGGAAAAATATTGTCTTGTAGCCCTATAATTCCCAACTAGTTCTAGCGCAGACTGTAAGGCATGTCTTCTAATTTAGAGGTGCAAAATAGTTCAAGTAATGTAATAGTGTATGTGTAGTGTGTGTACCGGTGTATGTACCGGTGTATGTATGTATGTACATATGTATGTATGTATGTATGTATGTATGTATGTATGTATGTATGTACATATGTATGTATGTACATATGTACATATGTATGTATGTATGTATGTATGTATGTATGTATGTATGTATGTATGTATGTATGTATGTATGTATGTATGTATGTATGCATGCATGTATGCATGTATGCATGTATGCATGTGTGCATGCATGTGTGTAGTGTATGTGTTGCTTGCACAAACTAAAAATTAGCATTCAATTTTAGAAATGAATTTTTATTTTATTTTTATCTTGTTTATTTCTCGTTTTGGTAAATCAAATTTGTAATTTCCCTAATGGCCCTTAAATTATTTGATCAGTGGTAACTTTCCCTTTGTATTTGTGGTTGATTACCCATTCCAACATCGCATTTCAGCAGTTTAACTTTGCATTGTGTCACTGAAGTTTAATAATTGTTAAATTAATTGAAAGTGCTGTCTCGTAATATTTTAACGGACAACCTTTGTTCAAATTCAAAATGCTTCCTCTTCCGCGAAAAGTCCATTCACCACAAAGGCGTCTGATTCGGGATTTTTTAGTAAATTCTTCGGCAAGTATCAGGGCTGGTCGCGAGCGTTCGCTAGAAAACAGCAGTGCCGCTATCTGGTCACACCGCGAAAAATATTATATTGAGTTGAAGATTATATTATACATATATATATATCGAAGATACATATTCTGAAAACAAGTGCTGAAGCCCAAGCAAATTGCAAACGAAACGGTCGCGCGAGCCAAGTAGAACACCCGAAACGAGTTCAGTGCGTGCGCTTGAGTGTGTGACTGCCATGCGAGGCTCGCCCGGGTGATCCGGCTGTGCCAGGTGCCCCAGGTTCCAGGTTCTAGGTTCCTGGTTCCGCTCCACTCGTCGCTGGATTCAGTGCAGACAAGGGGCGGGGAGGCGGAGGCTAGGCTCCACGGAAGGCGGTCCGCGGCTACTCCACGGCGCACAGGATGTTCTCGGGGCCCAGCGGCCATGCCCACACCATTAGCTACGGGGGCGGGATCGGTCTGGGCACCGGAGGCGGTGGTGGTGGTGGCTCACAGGGCGGCGGAGGCGGTGGTGTTGGCATTGGCGGCGGTGGCGTGGCTGGACTGCAGGACTGCGATGGCTATGACTTCACCAAATGCGAGAACGCTGCGAGATGGAGGGGCTTGTTTACGCCGTCGCTGAAGAAGGTGCTGGAGCAAGTGCATCCACGGGTCACCGCCAAGGAGGACGCTCTGCTGTATGTGGAGAAACTCTGCCTACGGCTGTTGGCTATGCTGTGCGCCAAACCGCTGCCCCACTCCGTTCAGGATGTGGAGGAAAAGGTGAACAAGTCCTTTCCGGCGCCCATCGATCAGTGGGCTCTCAACGAGGCCAAGGAGGTGATCAATTCAAAGAAGCGCAAGTCTGTCCTGCCCACGGAAAAGGTGCACACGCTGCTCCAGAAGGATGTGCTGCAGTACAAGATCGACAGCTCCGTGTCCGCCTTCCTGGTGGCCGTGCTGGAGTACATCTCTGCGGACATACTCAAAATGGCCGGCGACTATGTGATCAAGATCGCCCACTGCGAGATCACGAAGGAGGACATCGAGGTGGTGATGAACGCCGATCGCGTGCTAATGGACATGCTCAACCAGAGCGAAGCCCACATCCTGCCCAGTCCCCTGTCACTGCCCGCTCAGCGGGCAAGTGCCACCTACGAGGAGACGGTCAAGGAGCTGATCCACGACGAGAAGCAGTACCAGCGCGACCTGCACATGATCATACGCGTCTTTCGCGAGGAGCTGGTGAAGATCGTGACCGATCCCCGGGAGCTGGAACCGATATTCTCCAACATAATGGACATTTACGAAGTGACGGTGACTCTGCTCGGCTCCCTGGAGGACGTCATCGAGATGTCCCAGGAGCAGAGTGCCCCTTGCGTGGGCAGCTGCTTTGAGGAACTGGCCGAGGCCGAGGAGTTCGACGTGTACAAGAAGTACGCCTACGATGTGACTTCGCAGGCATCACGGGATGCCCTCAACAATCTCCTGTCCAAGCCAGGGGTAAGTAATTATACCTTACTTGCTGAAAGGTGTGCTAAAATCGCTGCTTTTAGGCCTCATCTCTGACTACAGCCGGCCATGGCTTTCGCGATGCTGTCAAGTACTATTTGCCCAAGCTGCTTCTGGTGCCCATTTGCCATGCCTTCGTGTACTTCGACTACATCAAGCACCTCAAGGATCTCAGCTCGTCGCAGGACGACATCGAGAGCTTCGAGCAGGTCCAGGGCCTGCTGCATCCACTCCACTGCGATCTCGAGAAGGTTATGGCAAGTCTGTCCAAGGAGCGGCAAGTACCCGTCAGCGGACGAGTGCGTCGCCAGCTGGCCATCGAGCGGACACGGGAGCTGCAAATGAAGGTGGAGCACTGGGAGGATAAGGACGTGGGCCAAAATTGCAATGAATTTATTCGCGGTGAGTGTCAGCAACGAAAGCTATCAAATATCAAATAGATATCCTACAACGACAATGCTATCTCAAATTTACAGAGGATTCGCTAAGCAAGCTTGGATCAGGAAAACGAATCTGGAGCGAGCGCAAGGTGTTTCTCTTCGATGGGCTGATGGTGCTATGCAAGGCAAACACCAAAAAGCAAACGCCATCGGCAGGAGCAACGGCCTACGATTACCGGCTGAAGGAGAAGTATTTTATGCGACGCGTAGATATCAACGACCGACCGGACAGCGATGACCTGAAGAACAGCTTTGAGTTGGCACCCAGGATGCAGCCGCCAATTGTGCTGACCGCCAAGAATGCGCAGCACAAGCACGATTGGATGGCGGACCTGCTGATGGTGATCACCAAGTCGATGCTGGACCGCCACTTGGACAGCATTCTGCAAGACATCGAGCGGAAGCACCCACTGCGAATGCCCAGCCCGGAGATTTACAAGTTTGCGGTGCCGGACAGCGGTGACAATATCGTGTTGGAGGAGCGCGAAAGCGCTGGAGTGCCGATGATCAAGGGCGCGACGCTTTGCAAGCTCATCGAGCGGCTCACCTATCACATCTACGCCGACCCTACCTTCGTGCGCACCTTCCTCACCACATATCGCTACTTCTGCTCGCCGCAGCAATTGCTGCAGCTGCTTGTGGAGCGCTTTAACATACCGGATCCCAGCTTGGTCTATCAAGACACTGGCGCAGCAGGTGCGGGTGGAATCGGCGGCGTTGGCGGTGACAAGGAGCACAAGAACTCGCATCGTGAGGACTGGAAGCGCTATCGTAAAGAGTATGTGCAGCCAGTGCAGTTTCGAGTGCTCAACGTGCTGCGCCATTGGGTCGACCACCATTTTTACGATTTCGAGAAGGATCCCATGTTGCTGGAGAAGCTGCTCAGCTTTCTGGAGCACGTGAATGGCAAATCGATGCGCAAGTGGGTGGACTCCGTGCTTAAGATTGTTCAGAGAAAGGTGAGTAGTTGATTAAAAACATAATGTTGGTGTCTTGTTAATTTCTTGGATTTCATTTGCAGAACGAGCAGGAGAAAAGCAATAAGAAGATTGTATACGCCTATGGCCACGATCCGCCGCCCATTGAGCATCACCTTAGCGTACCCAACGACGAGATAACGCTCCTCACCCTGCACCCACTAGAACTGGCCCGTCAGCTCACTCTGCTGGAATTCGAGATGTACAAGAATGTAAAGCCCTCTGAGTTGGTCGGATCCCCCTGGACGAAAAAGGACAAGGAGGTGAAGAGCCCTAATTTACTGAAGATTATGAAGCACACCACAAACGTGACGCGCTGGATTGAGAAATCCATCACCGAAGCTGAGAATTACGAGGAACGACTTGCAATTATGCAACGCGCAATCGAAGTGATGATGGTGATGCTGGAATTGAACAATTTTAATGGAATCCTCTCGATTGTCGCGGCAATGGGCACGGCATCAGTTTATCGACTGCGCTGGACGTTCCAGGGATTGCCCGAACGCTACAGAAAGTTCTTGGAAGAGTGCCGCGAGCTCAGTGACGATCATCTCAAGAAGTATCAGGAACGATTGCGATCCATCAATCCGCCTTGTGTGCCATTTTTCGGTCGCTACTTGACCAACATACTCCACTTAGAGGAGGGAAACCCCGACCTGCTAGCCAACACAGAGCTAATTAACTTCTCAAAACGACGGAAAGTGGCCGAGATTATTGGCGAGATTCAACAGTACCAGAACCAGCCATACTGTCTCAATGAGGAGTCCACAATACGACAATTCTTCGAGCAACTGGATCCGTTTAACGGACTGTCCGACAAACAGATGTCTGACTATCTCTATAACGAAAGTTTACGCATTGAGCCAAGGGGCTGCAAGACGGTGCCGAAATTCGTAAGTATCCTAAATTGCTTCTAAATTCACATGTCATATAAGAAATTTCTCAATCTCCTTTGTAGCCTCGAAAGTGGCCGCACATTCCGCTCAAATCGCCGGGCATTAAGCCGCGTCGTCAGAATCAAACCAACAGCAGTAGCAAGCTGTCGAACAGCATGTCGTCAGTGGCGGCGGCAGCGGCAGCTTCGTCAACGGCCACCACAATAGCGACTGCAGCAGCTCCATCTTTGCATGCCTCCAGTATATTGGATGCGCCAGCAGCAGGCTCAAATGCTGGGTCCGGAACTCTCGCTGGCGAGCAAAGTCCGCAGCACAATCCACACGCGTTCTCCGTTTTCGCCTCTGTTATTATACCCGAACGGAATACTAGCAGCTGGAGTGGTACGCCACAGCACACTCGAACGGATCAGAGCAATGGGGAGGTTTCGGTGCCGGCGCCACATCTCCCCAAGAAACCTGGCGCGCATGTCTGGGCTAACAATTCGACACTGGCCAGTGCGTCAGCAATGGATGTGTTCAGTCCAGCGCTGCCGGAGCACCTGCCACCGCAGTCCCTGCCAGATAGCAATCCATTTGCATCGGACACGGAAGCTCCGCCCTCGCCGCTGCCCAAGCTAGTGGTCAGTCCGCGTCACGAAACCGGCAATCGATCACCATTCCATGGGCGTATGCAGAACAGCCCAACGCACAGCATCGCTAGTACCGTGACCCTAACAGGCATGTCTGCATCGGCCGGGGAGGAGTTCTGCCCGGGTGGCTTCTATTTCAACAGTGCCCATCAGGGACAGCCAGGGGCAGTGCCCATCTCGCCGCATGTCAATGTTCCGATGGCCACCAATATGGAGTACCGAGCAGTGCCGCCTCCACTGCCACCCAGACGCAAGGAGCGCACTGAGAGCTGTGCGGACATGGCGCAAAAGCGACAGGCGCCAGACGCACCCACAGTAAGTATTGTTTAGCTTGCAAGGGCAAGATATATAAATAGTAGATCGCAGCATTCAGTTTATCAATCCTTGCAGTTACCCCCGCGTGATGGCGAACTCAGTCCGCCCCCGATACCGCCACGGCTCAACCATTCCACGGGCATCAGCTACTTGCGACAGAGCCATGGCAAGAGCAAGGAGTTTGTGGGCAAGAGCAGTCTGCTCCTGCCCAACACCAGCAGTATTATGATACGCCGCAACTCGGCGATCGAGAAGCGGGCAGCGGCAACTACCCAGCCATCGGCGGTTGGACCCATCAGCACGACACTAGTGACCGTGTCGCAGGCGGTGGCGACGGACGAACCGCTCCCGCTACCAATCTCGCCAGCGGCAAGCTCCTCGACGACCACATCACCGCTGACACCCGCCATGTCGCCCATGTCCCCCAACATTCCCAGCCATCCGGTGGAGAGCACGACGAGCAGCTATGCCCACCAACTGCGAATGCGGCAGCAGCAGACGCATCCCGCGATTTACTCGCAACACCATCATGCCACCCATCTGCCGCATCATCAACACCAGCACCATTCGAATCCGACGCAGTCACGCTCGTCCCCGAAGGAGTTCTTTCCGATTGCCACGAGCCTCGAGGGCACACCCAAACTTCCACCAAAACCTAGTCTAAGCGCTAACTTCTATAACAATCCAGGTGAGTAGCGCGCCCAGTCCCTTAAAACGTAACGTATTTCATGAACTATTTATCCATGCGCAGATAAAGGTACGATGTTTCTTTACCCAAGTACAAACGAAGAATAATTTAAATTGCCTGGCGATGTGATAGGACAAAAACTACGAGTATGATCCGTAAGATTCAAAGTTGCAAGTACTGCTTGAGTGCAGATATAGATGAGAACGGAACGGAACGTGAGATATATATATACGTAGGCACAGTTTATGTATTCTAGTTGGCCTACGGCCGTATGCCCGGATGAACCGAGTTGGATCCGATGAAGTTGATGATTTGATTGTTCGCAACTCATTAAACAAGGTAAAACAGAACACGCTCTCATTTACACAATAGGCACGGCATATGAATACATGCGCATGCAGGACACACAAACCAACCAACAAGAAATGCAAACAAGAAATTATGTTATTATATAATTACTATTATAAATATTTGTAAATATCGAGAACATTGTATTGATCGTAGAACGTAAAACAATAAAATATAACCCTATTGTTAGACAGTTGGCGACGTCTGTTGATGCCCCAAAATTGGCCAGTCGGACTGAGATTGTATCCACAGTCAAGGCGAACAGAATCGGTTGCCAAGGCCTTTTGAATGCAGACGTTCTTTTTGTGATCACTCTACATGTTCAAAGATCCAAGGCATACCTTACACAGGCCCAAGGGCCTTGAGGAAGTCGGCACGAACCGACATCCGACTGCAACACCTGGCATTCTCGCAGTGTCCAGCATAATCTCAGACATTATTAACGTTGTATATTGCTAATTAGTTTCGGTAGGTAGGAAAAACTGGAGCGATTGTTGTCTCACTGCATTAGGTGCAATTAAATTGGACACACACAGCACACACACGGGTATTGGATTGGAAACGACGCGGTTTGACTTTCGCTTTTCTAACGTCATGATCGTTGAGCAAATGCTTCCTGAAATTTTGGGCTGCTCGCTGCTGGAACCGGTTGTTGTATTTGAATTATTTTCGTATTTTCTCAATCATGTCCAGCCCCTTAACACAAGCGTGCATCCCATAAACACGCACAGTTACCACCCAAAACGATGTGTCACGTGGTAGCGGACCGATTGGGATCCTCGGTGAAGTACCAACCAACCACCACACGAGTGGCGATTCCGTTGCCAAGGTGAATAAACCGCATTCGAGAACGTCACTGCTGCAGCGAAGGAATCGCTGAATCGCTGGGTATATAATGCTGGGAAGACATATCGTTTGAGCAATCTTTCATGTCCAATTGTGTCCTATGAACACATTCCTATATATCATTGCAGACATCCGGGGAATTTCCGTTGAGTGGGCACCTTTATTTATAGCGCATCATGCACTCCATACCCTGTAGCCAAGGCCATTGGCCGAGTTCAGCTATGGCATCTGCGATATCGTGGTGGATTCGGCTCTCCATGCATCTTGACCAACATATCGGAAGCTAGACGACCTACACCAACTGGTAATCTATGTGCCATTTTCTCGATATCACGTCTTAGTTGCGCAATTTGCACAACAATTGGCCAAAGAATTACTCAATGCATTTGCATTTAATGCATACTTGATTGCGGCTAATGAGAGAGAAACCCCGCGGAAAATTGCTGGAGAAGATTAGACCTCTGCGCATAATCAACGCGCTGTAATTGTTCGTACATAATTGTATTACATGAGCTTATCAATTAGCCAGCCAATTAACTACCAGCCATATCTGGCCATTCGCTGCAATACTGCAATTCTGGGATTCTGGGATGAGTGGACCAGGGAAATCCCTGAAATGAATGCTCTGATCTGCATTGCGCAGGTACGAGGTGCTTTCCTCTGCTCCGCCGGTGGCAGCCGCATAACCAGAATCCACGAGCCAAACCAGGTGAGATCGGCACTTGCTCGGCTCTCGAGCGGCATGGCCTTTATGTAAGCGCCACTCGGTTTCGGATTCTGAGTTGTGGAAGTCGTCGAGCTTTTATAAAAGCGGCAACAACATTGCCAGTTCATTCAGTTCATTCGGAATCATTGTCAAGTGCAATCTGCAGCAGCGAGAGCAGCAACAGCAGCACCAGGAACAGCAGCAACATCATCTAGTACATCGGAAATCGGAGCGTTAGCCAAGTCACTTACAGTATAATCCGCAGACGATAGCCAATAAAATGCTGGCCAGCGAGAACTTTCCCACACATCACTTCAAGGAATCTATATTTAAGCCTTACAGTACAAGTGGCGATGATTTGGCAAGCGTTACCCCACTGACAGCGGCAGCAGCATTGGTGGCGTCCACGTCGTCACCGGCTGATTCCTCCTCCGCAGTTGCATTCGAGACGGCCAGCAAAATGTTGACCACCACCAACAGTAATAATAATAATAACAATACCACGAGCGCCAAGGATGATCTATCCAGCTTTGTGGCCAGCCATCCGGCGGCAGAGTTCGAGGGCTTCATCCGAGCCTGCGTCGACGAGATCATCAAGCTGGCCGTCTTCCAGGGCACCAATCGCTCCTCGAAGGTCGTCGAATGGCACGAGCCAGCGGAGCTGCGCCAGCTCTTCGACTTCCAGCTGCGGGAGAAGGGTGAATCGCAGGACAAGCTGCGCGAGCTGCTGAGGGAGACGATCCGGTTCTCCGTCAAGACGGGACACCCGTACTTCATCAATCAGTTGTACTCGGGTGTGGACCCGTACGCCCTGGTGGGCCAATGGCTGACCGATGCCCTCAATCCCAGCGTGTACACGTACGAGGTGGCTCCACTGTTCACCCTAATGGAGGAACAGGTGCTGGCCGAGATGCGACGCATAGTGGGATTCCCCAATGGCGGCCAAGGCGACGGCATCTTCTGTCCTGGCGGATCGATAGCCAACGGTTATGCAATCAGCTGCGCCCGTTACAGACACTCGCCTGAGTCCAAGGTGAGTGCCCCATTGAAGCCGAGTGGTTTACCGCCAATCCACGCGGAAGTCGCGATCCAGATTGGCAGGTAACGGTCCACATCGTTAGTCATGGCTGTGATATATAGACAGTGCAACTAAAAGTTCCTAACTATATAATCAGCTGTACTGATAATGAGACAAGACAAATCGTAATGATGTGTGATTCAAGATTAAATTTAAGACATCCATGAAACTGAAAAAATAATTCATTGATAAAAAGAATGATTTCATAAAAATACTTTGATAATATAAAAGTGCATAACTAGTTTTATAAATATACAAATCTTACCACTTCAATCTGCAGAAAAACGGACTCTTCAATGCCAAACCCCTGATTATCTTCACCTCAGAGGATGCCCACTACTCCGTGGAGAAACTGGCCATGTTCATGGGCTTCGGCAGCGAGCATGTGCGCAAGATAGCCACCAACGAGGTGGGTAAGATGCGGCTGAGCGACCTGGAGGAGCAGGTGAAGCAGTGCCTGGAGAACGACTGGCAGCCGCTGATGGTCTCGGCCACAGCCGGAACCACTGTGCTGGGCGCCTTCGATGATCTGGCTGGGATCTCGGATGTCTGCAAGAAGTACAACATGTGGATGCACGTGGACGCGGCTTGGGGAGGCGGTGCCCTCATGTCCAAGAAGTATCGCCATCTGCTCAGTGGCATCGAACGGTGAGTGTGACAATCTTGAGGAAAATTTCAAGGGGGTAACTGAAGATGCGTTTCTCGGCAGGGCTGATTCGGTCACTTGGAATCCACACAAGCTGCTGGCTGCCTCGCAGCAGTGCTCCACCTTCCTGACGCGCCACCAGCAGGTGCTGGCCCAGTGCCACTCGACCAATGCGACGTACTTGTTCCAGAAGGACAAGTTCTATGACACATCCTTCGACACCGGCGACAAGCACATCCAGTGCGGTCGCCGAGCTGATGTCTTCAAGTTCTGGTTCATGTGGAAGGCCAAGGGCACCCAGGGTCTGGAGGCGCATGTCGAGAAGGTCTTCCGCATGGCCGAGTTCTTCACTGCCAAGGTGAGGGAGCGTCCAGGATTCGAGCTCGTCCTCGAGAGCCCCGAGTGCACCAACATCAGCTTCTGGTATGTGCCGCCCGGTCTGCGGGAAATGGAGCGCAATCGGGAGTTCTACGACAGGCTGCACAAGGTGGCTCCGAAGGTCAAGGAGGGCATGATCAAGAAGGGCTCCATGATGATCACGTACCAGCCGCTGCGCCAGCTGCCCAACTTCTTCCGCCTGGTGCTGCAGAACTCCTGTCTGGAGGAGTCGGACATGGTCTACTTCCTGGACGAGATCGAATCGCTGGCCCAAAACTTGTAAGCGGCGGCGATGGCACGTTAGGTTAGGTGTTGACAACATTCTCTTTAGGCTTATGCCGATTGTATCTTCTAGTGTATGGTTAAATCTCACGTTTGTATATTCTTTTGGATGTTAAGTATTACCGAAAGCAATGAACAAAAATACATATTTATAGGTCATTTCATTTAGATTACATTTTGTGTTTGCCTTGGAAACTGAAAAACATTTCAACAGGATTCTTTAAATGCAAGATTCTTGAAAGACAAAATCATAAATTATTTAAATCCTTATAAGCAATTCTAATTTAAATACACTGGGAATATATTTAAGTGTTTCTACCTTACAATTTAAGAGGAACTTGTAATCATACCCAGCAGCCTCCAAGTCTTCGTGAATTCCTGAGTAACAAATATGTACTTATTAATTTGTCTCGAGTATATGGCAGCTAACTCTTCTTTATCCAATTCCACTGACTGACATCGTTACCGCCGGCCTTCTCGATTGCCTCCGCGACGCTCAAGCTCTGACCTGGCTGAATTCCATAACCGATGCGCAGGCCATGCGGATTTGACGGCGTCTTGCAGTCCATGGTGCACTCTTTGCGCAGCACGGTGTCTACCTCCACGGACGAAAAGAAGGCCACCGACATGGGCAGATCCTTCAGTCCGATGCGGGAAACACAAAAGGAGCGCGTCATTAGGTTTGTGATATGCATGGCCAGTGCCGCTTTGGGCGAAAACTCCTCCTTGACCAAATAGCGCAATTCATCATGGAAACTCAGGCAGAATCGGACGTGCGATCCCATCAGCCATCTCATGCTCACCAGCATCAGGTGAAGGAAGTCCACCGCTCCGCTCTGCACCACCCAATTGATGCGGGTGGGCAGGAAACGTTGCTCCTGCTCGGGTCCACCATCCGCCTCCAGGGCACGACTGAGTCGACCGCCCAGGAATGGCGTCCGAGGCTGTGACCCCGTGGCAATCTCTTCCAGGCGGTTGAACATGGCGCTCTCCGTGCCTCCCTGCCAGTTGGGACGATGGAATACCTCTGTCAGGGTGCGGTTGCGTTGAATGGCCAGTCGAGAAGCCTCGTAGCTGCTGTAGCTGTAAAAGATGTAATTTTAGCCAAGAAGTAGCTGTGTGTATGGTGGGTGGCCACTTACGCCCTGTCATCCAGTTCGTCATGGAATTCCTCGCGCAACCGATACACCCGCTTGCCCTTTGTGATGGAGAACATTTTCATAGCCTTGGCCTTGGCCTCGGAAGCACTGAATGTGGGATTAAACTGACGGAGCAGTGTCTCGGCAAACAATTGACCAGCTCCGTAGATCCGGGCGTAATTGATCACTTTGGCGTGATCTCGTGAAATGCCGACAGCCTTTGCGGTTATGGAGTGCATATCGCTGCCATTCGACTTACTGCCGCTGAGAGTCATCCAGCCGAGTGGCGTGGCCCCGTGCTCCCCGCAGGCGTAGGCATCACCCAGCACGGAGGCGATCCACAGCTCCTGCGAGTCAACATCGGCACCAACTAGCCTGTAACCAGGTGGAGCCTGTACCATTGAACGCAGCTCCGAGCCCAGTCGATCAGTCCGGGAATTGGAGGCCGTCATCCATGTGGGTTCCATCGCACGACGCGTTAAAGTGCCACAGGCTACAACTTGGGGACAAATAGCTCCATAAGCTATTGGCTGGCCAGTGAGTTCATTTGGCAGTTGCTGCGGATTGAGCCATACTACCATCTGACCCAGGATTCGATCCCTATTGTTCCGCCAGTAGGACATCATGCGAGCAATGTCGATGACGCGGGCGGCAGCTTGACAGGATGGATCACCACTGCTCAGCACGTTTTCTGAGAACTTGTTGAGGAAGTCTTTGGATAAGGGGTTGCCCACCCGAAAGGAGGGTCCATTTTTGTGGGGAAGCTTAAGAAAGAAGCAGCAATCATCTAACACCTTGTTGCACCACACTCCAGAGCCTTGAACATGAATAGGATGAGCCCTCTCCCCCGTTAGTTACATCACATACGCACCTTGGTACTGAGTCTCCAGACGTTGTTGTTTTTGAGACAACTTCTTGTAGTGTTCCCGCTTTCCCAAATGCTCCTCCACCTGTCCAGGCAGCATATCAAAGGCCAGATCACTCTCCGCCTTCGAGGCGCTCTGACGGGCAAACTCCGGCACTGGACAACGAGCCAGAAGTTGATTTATGGGCAGTCGATCTACGCCTTCCGAATCGCTGCGAAATGGAACCAGGAAGCCCCAGCCTTGCTCTCTCTCGTAGTGCAGAGGATATCCTTCCCAGCAGAGGGAAAGCAGCTTGGGGGCAATCTGCATGCCGGTGCTGATCTCGCTGGCTCCCGGGAACCACGGCTCTTCGTCGTCTTCCAGAATTTCGTCTGACCTTTTGGTTGGCGGCTTGCGGCACAGTTTTCGATACCACAGAGGATAACCGGGAAGCAATGGCCGTCGAGCTGGAAGCAGTGCTTGTTGATCATAGAGGTGCTGAAACTTGGCCTGCAGACGACGCTCCTCCGGTGTGTTTACAGCATACTTGACCTCCACTGTGGGCAGAGGCTTGCGCTTCGGGGGCTGCTTTAGTTTTAGCTCCTGCACACTCCAATCCTCGTCCCAGAGCCACAAATTCTGGCGGTACTGATCGTCAAGCAGCAAGGAGCAGGCTTCCTCAGCCCTCCGCCCCAAATGGTACTTGGCCTCGATGCTGAGGTCCTCGTAGGTGAGTTGCGCCTCGCGTATGTATCGCTCCCAATTGGAGTTAACAGGCAAATAGGCGGATCCCATCTCCAACATGCCGGCCAGAGAAGCAGGATGTGGAAAACGGTCTGCGTACAATGGATACAGGACTCGGAGTATCCGATGTGTAGCCTCCACATCGCTGGCGCAGTAGTTGGTCAACGACTGAAAGCTCTGACGCACTTGCTCCAGAGTTCCCTCCACGAAAATGTTCCTGGGCTCCTTGGATAGTGCATCCCCGCCGCAGTAGAGGCGATGCACATCTACCAAACTGTTAAGGGAGCTCTGCTCCAGCCATCCCAGATCCTCGGCAGCCGGTTCCTTCTTGGATTTGAGCATGGCCCGTTGGTAGCTGGTTACTCCACTGACGCACATGTGCAGCGACATAGTGTCCACGAAACGAGTGCCCGTGTCCTCGATCAAATACTGCTCCTTCAGTCGCGCCCTGTCGTAGGAGACATTGTGACCCACCACCAGACCAGGTCCACTGGTTCCTAGTGGTATGAGTTCGTCCGTGGTATAGTGCGGACGCTCGGAGTCCGTGTCCACGTCTAACGGCTCTAAGTTCTCCACATTTAGGCGGTGTTTCGTAAGCTTTGAGCTCACCCATGAGTACCATCTCTTGGTGCTGACGGCGGTGGCCAGAACTGGAGCCTGCCCTTCGTTGACGCACACCTCCACATCGAAGACAAGTCCCTTCTCCAGTGGATGATCCACCGGCGTGGCTGTTCCATCGTCGGGATCATAAGCTGTCCAGCCGGTAAAGAAGGCCCAACGCTTTGGACGCTTCGGTAGCTTCTCGCACTGGACCAGGGGAAGTAGTAGCTCCTCGTACGGCTGCACTTGTTCCTGGGCAATGTTGTGGAAGTGCTCCTCAATATTGGCGCCTCTCAGGGGAGGCAGTTTCAACTGTACATCCGATACGGGAGCAGAGCTTTCGATATCGACGCCGTGCCGGCGCAACTCCTCCTTGTAGGCCTTGGCGGAGGCCACCTGCTGCTCCGAAATGCTGCGTGGGGTTTGGGGAAAGAGTTGGGCGTGCAGGTTTCGCGAGATCATCTGCACCTTGACAAGATTTTCCGCATATTCGGATTGGCCATCCTCCACATTCTCCGACTTTTTTGGTTTGTTTACCTTTTGTGGGGGCTTAACCCGCCGATAGATCTTCACGCTACTGCTGGCGTAGTGATCCCGGCTAATCTTGCTGGCGTACTTTCTGATCAGGTGGAGCTGCATCCTAGTTTTAACAAAGGAAACATCCTTTGAAGCAACTGCAGTCCAACTGGCGACCACTCACTCCTCCGTAAGATTGCCGGCAGCTTAGGTATTTTTGTGCGCTTGCGCGGCGGTCACATTGATTTCATTTTTAAATTTATTTTCCGTTAAGGTAATTTCATCTGTAAAACGGAAAAATGTACATATAAAACCATAAAACCTTTTGAAAAACGTAAAATAATCGCTCATATCCCCATTAAAAATGATTTATACTAAGCGAGATCATTTGATCGAGCTCGAATCCACATTTCTCGCTGCTCGGAACGAATAATTATAAAAACAAAAACACTATTTGATTTTACGAATAAAAAACATTTTATTCAGTTTGCTATAAAGGTGAAACACTTTAAAACACACACACAGACTTTCGGAACCATTATGGAAGTAGGGGAAAAGAACAATCTCTTCGGTTAATTTATGTAAAAAGGCTTTCGCACGGTACAGAACAATGGGAAAAGCGATTTTGGAAAACATTTTGGCAAATACTGCGCTCCTGGCCAGGCCAACACACTCGCTAACAGACAATAACACGTAACGCTGGTCCGTTCCGGGCCGAACTAGATCTGCAGGTTGCGCATGCCGCCATTGATGCCGCCCTGCTCCACGTTCCAGATGACCAGTTGCCCGTCAACGGCCGAGGTGGACACCTTGCTGGCGCAGGCCTTGTCACCGGCGTACAGTCGCACGCTGGTGATGGCGTTCTGGTGAATGGAATCGACCACAGTGTCCGTGTTCTCCGTGCGCATGTTGCGGTCCATCGACTGGAAGATTCTCATGGCGGTGATGCCGCTTGACTCCCTCTTCTGCGACTTGTCTAGCTTGCCGCTCAGCACCAGCTTGCCGTCAGCGGTCAGACTGTAAAGCAGTGGCACGCAGCTATAGCCGGCCACCACGACGGACGTGGGCGAGACCCATTCGCAGGACAGGAAGGGCAGATAGCCGGTGCGGCAGCGGATCACCGTGTTGCCGTTGGTAGCGTCCGCGATGCTCACGCAACTGTCGTGCCCCACCCAGCAGACCTTGTTACCGTCGCTGGAGAAGCTCACGCTGTTGATCCACCCGCCACCCGAGGTCTGCGAGTTGCGGAACTCGGCCATCAGCTGGCCAAGGGGCTTGCGGTTGCCCCACGGCGTCGGCGTGGGTGGCTCCTCGATGTCCTTTATGAAGGCCGAGAAAACGCGCACCTTGTAATCCGTAGAGCCGGCCAGCAGCAGAACGTTGTTCGGATGCCAGTCCAGTGAAGTAACCGTTGAGCGGATCGGCTTCTTGATGTGCTTCGACACCCACCAGTCGTTCTCCGACTCAAAATAGCACACGGATATGAGCCGGGCGCCCGATCCCACAGCAAACTTGTTCTCCGCCGGGGACCACTTGACGCAGGTAGCCGCACGGTTGATGCGGAGCAGCACCAGCGCCGGTTTCCACTTGCCATCGTCGCCCTGCGTCCAAACATAGGCATTTCGGTCGGCGGCACAGCTCACAATCCGATTGGTGTTCTTGGCCCAGTCGATGCCCATGACGCGCAGATCGTGCTGGTTGAGCACGTCCGCCAGCTTCCAGTCGCTACCTTCTCGGCTGTATATGTGGATCTCATGGTTGTTGGGCGATAAGGCAATCTCTACGGGTTGGTCGGAGTGGGTGAGTCACACAGTGCCGGATGAGTAATTTGGGTCGCACTTACGGGTTCGATCCTTGTTCCACGCGTGGCAGGTGATGGAGGCCAGCGAGGTGCCAAAAGTGTACGTCTCGGCCATCGTGGGTGACTAAATGCGCTCGGAATGTGCAGTGTTCGCTCGTCCAAATCCAACCACACACGTAGTTTCTTCGGTTCGGTTCGCCGGATTTCGGATTTCGCTGGTACCAGCAAGTGGGCGTTGTTTCTGCTTGTTTAGCTTCGCTCTCGTTTTAATCGCGGACTCTGGGCCGTCAACACGATTAAGCTGGCGTTGCTGGGATGGATTCTGGGTTTCCCTGGGCAGGAAGAGCAGCGCGTTGTGGAAAAAACTCTTTGGAAAAGTAATGCACAAAATTAATCACCCGAAATTAGAGCTGGAACAAAAATCGATGGCTCCCGATACTATCGTTGTTGACTATATCGATCCTTTTTGATTTCCCAAATATACTAATGTACCAGGGATGTTAGCCGCGTTTGGTATATACCAGAGCAAATATTTTGGCGCCATTTCAATGGTCTTACTAAACTGAATCCATTGCTTGTAAACAAATTTTTAATAACATATTGGCTAGCTTTAATTTTTTTCGTTAGTTATTACACAAACTAAGTATTTTGATTTCAGGAAGTTCGTTTAAATAATTCTATCCTGCCTCTGGGCAGATCCGTAATCTGAAAAGAAAAAAACACCAATGGAATCCATTTGCTCCTCCTTGGCGCCGCTGTTTCCCTGTCGGGAAACGGCTATTGAAACGCTCGGCGAGCTGATAGGAGATTCCCGTGAAGCATATCCCTCGGCAATTTACCTTTTCGGGCATAGTGGAACCGGCAAAACAGCTCTGACCAGAGCTTTTCTCAAAGAATGTCGAAAACGGCAGAAAGTCCGCACAGCACATTTAAATGCCATCGAGTGCTACACCACCAAGATCATGCTAGAGATCCTGCTAGACTCGCTGGCACCGGAACAAGGAAATTCTCTGAAGGTTGACAACATGCTGGATTTCGTGGAACAGCTGCGTCGGTACGCTGCTCCACGTGCGGAGGCTCAGGGTTTTCTCATCGCCGTCGATAACGCGGAACGTCTGCGAGACATGGATGCCAATGTGTTGCCCGTTCTTCTCCGGCTGCAGGAGCTGACCAATCTGAATCTGTGCGTTATTCTGCTGTCCCAGCTTCCATTTGAGAAGTTCTACAACAAGACCGGACTTAGTGAAATCATCTGTCTGCACTTGGCGCAATACAACAAGGCGGAAACACAGCGCATCCTGGGATCTGACTTTGAACAGGTGCGAAATCAACTGCTGGAACAGTTTGCCCAGGATAAAAAGCGTCTGGAGATTTGCCAGGATGCCGTAACAGAAGACTTCTACAACAACTACCTAAATCTTTTTCTGAGCGTCTTTTACAAAGCCTGCCGCGATGTTCCGGAGCTCCAGCTGACGGCCAGGAAGTGTCTATCCATTTACTTAGAGCCCGTACTGGACGGCACTGTGGATGCCACGGACATCTCCCGACTTTGGCGGCATATAGCTGGGCCTCTCCGTTCCGCCTTAACCCAGATCTATATGCGCATTGAAAAACCCGCGGAGGAAGCTGAAGATTTCACCGCTATAGAAGATCAGAGCGTTCGCAAGCTGGCGCAGTCGCTGGAGCTTCCCTACTATGCCAAATACCTGCTGATCGCCGCATTTCTGGCCAGCCACAATGCCGCCAATCAGGACAAGCGGTTGTTCGTTAAGCACCATGGAAAACAGCGCAAGCGGATGCAGACGGTAAACGCCAGAGCCAAGGTGGGTTACTCAATCTGTCGATTCCGATCCATTTGCTTATTTCAACACCTTTCAGACCACGGAGAAAATGTCCACCACTTTGGGACCGAAATCCTTCAGCATCGACCGTTTGCTGGCGATTTTCTACGCCATTCTAGAGGAGAAAGTAGGTCTGACATGCAACCTTCTCTCCCAGATCTCAACCTTGGTGCACCTCAAGCTGCTCAGCTTTGTCTCTGGCGAACAGAACATAATGGACGGGTCTGCTAGGCTGCAGTGCACCATCGGCTTAGAGTTTGTTCTGCAGATCGGTAAGGTTGTGGGTTTTAATGTCCGCCAATACCTCTGCGACTTTATGTAGCCTGGTTGTTATCAGTTTTTAAATATATTGAATAAATAGTCCGGTACATCGCTTATGTGTATGGTCTCCGCGAGCCTTGTGTCCCGGCTGCGCAACTGCATCAGTCCATTCTTAAGTGTTTGCTCGTTTATAACAAGTGTATAAGGTATGCCCAGCATATCCGTTTCCAGTAAGTGCTCTGCTAAATGAGAAGTGTCCTTAGTGGAACAAAATCCAATCCCCTCACCAAGTCGGAGACCCTCGTGGTTGAGAACAAGCCTAAGATGTTGGCAAAGATCAGCCAAGTCCGCCGAGACCTCGGAATTACTTTCTACACAGACGATTCCACATTGATACGGCGCCAGGACGCGGTGTAAGAGCAGGGATTGCGAGTCCCGGCCATGATCACAACCATCCAGAAGCAGAGCTAAAAGATAATGATATAGAGAGATTTTCAAAGATAATTATGATGACAACTCACCGCAGGTGGCGGTTTCCAGCTCTATCACAGACCGTATGAAAGTCGGATGCACAGTTTCACCCGTGCGCGCATCGGGCAGCCGGAAGTTTTTGTCTTTCTCTATTCTCACCAGGCTCAGTTGTTCCACGGTCACTTCTCCTGCTTCACCGTAGCTCGACCGTATATCGATGGCTTGATAGTCTTTGGGATTGAGATCCTCTCCCAAATCGCAAGGAACAATGCGGTAGCGACTGGGATTCGAGGAAAGTCGCATCCACCAGATCTTGCTCTCCCGCTGCATGTTATAGAAGTGCTCCAGGGCGCGATGTGGTTCTACTAGGAAGTCCGTGGTTAAAAGTTGGGAGGGACCCTTTACCGCAAATAAGGAATTGCTATTGGGAGCGGAACAAGTGCTCTGGTGTTTCAGAAGAGTGGGACATTTGGCCTTTCGAGGATGATCTTTGACGAGTTTTTGGAAATTATTACGGAATTGCTGGCTTTGTGGAAATGAAAAACGGTGGATGGCTAGTGTATTGATAGGTTCATTCGTGACCTCTAGGTGAGCAGCCAATGGACGGAGTCGTGTCCAATGCTGTTGCAGCAGCTTGGCGTATTCCCTTCCATGACTAAGTAGCTCCAACTTATTATCTTCCTGGGTGCGAAAGAAACCAGCTGAAGCCAGGGACTTGAAGCATCGCTGCACCCGGCTCATTGCTCCAGCGGAATATTGCCTGGCGGCGAAACGTAGTAGTCCTCGTCCGTCACCTTGGCGTTCCGGAGCACTTCCGCCCGGCAGTCACCCTCGGTCACCTGGTCGTTGCGTAACTGGAGCTGCTGATGCTCCAGCACCGTGTACAGTGGACGCACGTGCTCCGTGTTGATGTGGGCAATCTTGTCTGCGAACTGAATGCTGCTCTTCAGCGTGGCGAGTGCCCGTTCGCTATCCAGATCCACCAGCGAAAGCCGCTCCAGCAACTGTATGGTTTTCGTGTCGATCTGGACTTCGGAAGAGCTGGTGTCTGGAAACTCGGAGTCCACTGGTGTCTGTGGCACCTTGGTGGGATGCGTCAGTTGCTTAAAGTCCAATTTAGTAGCCTTTTCATTAGATTTTGTTGCAATCTTGCAATACAAACGTTTACTCAACAGGCGCAACATTCTCACAGGCAGAAAGTCAGAGGTGGAAATGAGTTTCGTATCAAATAGCTAAATGTTATCAGAAATTAGCTAAAGGTTGGCCAGCTTATCAACTGTCCCTGCAAATATGTTGATGTATGCGAATAGTATCGTAAAATATTTCAAATAAATGTGTGTTTATTACATATCTTTCAGTATGACCTATATAATTAGAATATGAACTAATTAGTTTCGAACAAAATTTAAAATCTAGCTATAGAGACTAGCTTTGCAATCCGACCTGAGGACAACAATCGATATCGGTAGACTTGTCGCCGGCTGTTATCGCTGCACTTCCGTCGCTATCTTTTCACTGAGCGGGTTTTTTTCGTGACTTCCTTTAATTTCATCAAAACAAAGCCGCTATGCCGTACGCCAACCAGCCGTCCGTGCAGATAACCGAGCTGACGGACGACAACGTGAAGTTCGTCCTGGAGGACACGGAATTGAGCGTGGCCAATAGCCTGCGGCGAGTGTTCATCGCGGAGACACCAACGCTGGCCATCGACTGGGTGCAACTGGAGGCCAACTCTACTGTACTCTCGGATGAGTTTTTGGCCCACCGGATCGGCCTGATCCCGCTGATCTCCGACGACGTCGTGGAGCGGCTGCAGTACACCCGCGACTGTATCTGCCTGGACTTCTGCCCCGAATGCAGCGTGGAGTTCACCCTGGACGTGAAGTGCAGCGAGGAGCAAACACGACACGTGACCACCGCCGATCTCAAATCAAGCAATGCCAAGGTCCTGCCGGTGACGTCCCGCAACCAGGGTGAGGAGGACAACGAGTATGGCGAGAGCAACGATGAGATCCTCATAATCAAGCTGCGCAAAGGACAGGAGCTGAAGCTGCGCGCCTACGCCAAAAAGGGATTTGGAAAGGAGCACGCCAAATGGAATCCCACGGCAGGCGTGTGCTTCGAGTACGACCCGGACAACTCCATGCGACACACTTTGTATCCCAAACCAGATGAGTGGCCCAAGAGCGAGCACACCGAGCTGGAAGACGACCAGTATGAGGCGCCTTACAACTGGGAAGCCAAGCCAAACAAGTTTTTCTTTAACGTCGAATCCTCCGGGGCCCTCAAGCCCGAGAATATCGTGGTCATGGGCGTGCAGGTGCTGAAGAACAAGTTGTCAAACCTGCAGACGCAACTCAGTCACGAGTCCCAAAATGATGCCCTGGCCGTTTGATTTACATATAACAAGTTTATTTTAAGTATATAAAAGATTTTCCGCCTAATCTTTGAACAAGCTGTCTATGTTAATGCCCACGTTCGCTTCCTTTTTTCCCTTGGGAGTAGAAGGCGGAGGTGACGACGTGGTCTGTTGGCCCACCACCGCCTCCTTGAAGTCGCTCAGTAGCTGGGACTTGGATTCCGCATCCTGCTCTGGCAAGGATTCCTCTGGGGTTGCCTCCAGGCGGGCCTGCTGGCGCTGCTCCGCTAAAAGGTCCAGTGCGGTCTCGTAGATCCTTTGCTCATCGAGGGCTCCTTGTGCTTTTAGGTCCTGATATATTTGGACGAATTGCTGTGACTGCGTGCTGCGCTTATGGTCAAACAGGGAAATCGTTTCCTGTGGCCTATTTTCTTTGTGGAGCTTCCTGTGGAGATAAACGTTTGGTTAATTTTACGATAAGCCCGGCTGTGAGGGAATAACTTACGCTCGGACAACATCCTCTGCATAAAATATCTTACGCACAGGGATCTCGGGAGCGGGTCTGTCGAATCGGGGCTCCAGTTTCGGCGGAAAGGCAGCGTAAACATCATACCAAATGGGTTTATCCTCTGTTTTTATAGCTCCACCGCGTAGGAGGCCCTGAACTCTGCAAAACTCGGGTGTTTATGGGTTGTACAGATACTTCGCAGATGGGTAAATACCTGGTGAAGATTGTGCCAATCTTTTCCAGCCTACTTTGTGCCATTTTAGTAAAGTTTTATTTAAGTAAATGTGTTTTTTAACAAATTACGATTACGACATGCAGTGCATGGGCTTATCGATAAGCAACCGGTGGCTATCGATAACTTCAGAGTTGCCGTTGGGGGTGTAACGGAATTATTTCCTATAAGAACCTTGCGGGTTCTGGTTAGGATTGTTGCTTTATATGTGATATTTATTTTTTGAATTGCTTCAATAAATAGTTATACATATTTTAGCTAAGAATCTTTACCAATATATGAATTTTCAAAGAAATAATTTGTTTTATATTATGTTTACTATCGATACTTATCCAAACAAATGTAGTATTTTTGTGTATTACGGTGATTTCTCTGGTTGGCGTTTTTGGTATTTCCTTTGCAGTTCATAGTACAGTGCTTACTCCATAAATGTAAAGTCACAAAAACCTGCAGTAATTACATGTTTATCTACTGTTATGTAAGCACTGAATGGTATTTAAGAATGCTTGCATTTTGATAATACAAAATCTTACCAATTAAAATTCAATCAAATATTTGAATTGGTGAAGTTGGCTCTGTAGAGTGACCACTGTACCTGCTCTTCTTCCACAGTTTGTTGTGGAACGCCTCGCACCGACTACATACTTTTACATACTCGGCTGCGCTCGACGTAAATTCTCGCACTTTTCTGTTGATTTCGTAGTAAATTTTCGCCTTTTCGCTGTCAAATCAAAGCGCTTGAATCGGGAAAAACGAAGAAAAGTGCAAAATAACTCCACAAAAAGCAAAGCATATAAAATGCTATTTATTTGTGTACTGTATTAGCGTAAACAATAGTGTTTTGATTGTTTGTGCAGGTGCAAAATCGATCTAGTGAACTGAAAACTGCGACTCCAAAATCGGCCGAGTTAGCGCATTATTGCCCCGATTGTTGTTATTGGAAAATGTTGTTCGTTTGGGAAAATTGTGCCATCGCAATTTTGTAGTGTGAGTGCGTGTGTGCCGTGTGCGTGTCGAGTGTGTGTGCCAGTAAATTAAGTTAATTAAAAACTTAGCTAACTCTCGATTTCACCGCCCCCGCCATGAGTAACTACCATCCGCATTCGCATCCGCACGCGCTCTCGCATCCGCATCCGCAGCAGGTTCATAATCAGCTGCAGAATCCCCACCAGAACCAGTTGCCGCCCCCGCAGCGCCATAACCATGCCACGCCCACAGCTGCAGCCTCCGCCTCCGGAGCGCCATCAGCATCAGCATCGGCATCCATCCTGGTGGCCCATCCTCCCCAGCCGCTCATCAGCAACTCGCTGGCCATCCGGCAGGAGATCCAGCGATTCGAGAGCGTCCACCCATCCATCTATGCCATATACGAACTGATCGATCTGCTGCCCATGGCCGATGCCCAGATAGCCCAGTCCATCCGGGACCATGTGGTCTGCATTGAAGGTGAGTCTAATGGAGGGGCTATTAGTGCAACTAGTTTTAATGATTATAATAAGTTACAATGTAGCTTAGCCTTTGAATGGTCAAGATTGAAAGCTAAAGTTCTTGTTTGTCCACCTGTTTGTACTGCGTTATTGCATAAAATATTGGATGTTTACCTTCCTATTAAATGGCAATAAGAAGTACAATTACCCTAATCGTACAAAAGTATATATTTAGCAAGAGCATTTGCTGTTTGAAGTTTAGTTTAAGCTCTGACTAATTGATGATAAATTCCCCTGTTAGTACTGCGAGTATCCAGAACTGGAGGCGTTACACTCTATATGTTCTTCTCACTTCGAATAACTTTGATAACGTGTATGTTTAAAAATAAAGTTCCCACTATTTTTACTTTAAAGTATTTCAATGCAAGTAACGTCTAACTACTTGAATGCAGCTGCACAAATATTTTACCGGTAAACTAATTAAAATAGGGTTTTGAACGTAAAATGTTTAAATGCTAAATTCCCAATGTAACGATATTCTTATTATATATTTCGTTAGTTTTTAAGGGCTTGCAAATTTATTCACCATAACAAGGAAATGCTTTGCTTGCAAGTTCTCAACTTTTGCTAAGGGGTCAATGGGTTTAATGGAGCATTCGAGTTGTGCCCCAGAAATGATGAGCAACTAAATGTGCTGTAAATTATGCAAAGACACAGAGAAAAGGTATTCGGAGTCGGGCAGTAGAGTCTATCGTGACTTTGGATGGACTGGCTGGGTCCATTGAGTGTCAAGTCGGCGGGAACAGATGGAAATCCTTTGATTAAACATGTTTATCGCTGCAATTGTATCCACACCTTCATTGTGCTCCTTATCGCCAGCGTCTGGACTTGTGGTTGCCTTTGTTTGGAGTGCTTTATGCTAATCTCTGACCGAAAATCTATGAGGCAACACCAACCCCCGTGCGAGCATTATTGTTGCCAAAATGCCCATTCAAGCGGATCGTTGTGCTGTGTTGTGTTGCGCTCATCGAGAAGAAAGAGCTTCGCTTTTTGTTTAAAACAAGCTTTTCTGCCCAATTTTCAGCATATCGTTGAATGTGTGTGTGTGTGTGTATGCGGGGACTGAAATTTGATGCCCTCTTCCTCTTTGTGGCAGGCAGCAAAACTGAATACTGAATACTGAAAACCGTTCACGAAATCAAACCGAAAACCGGTTCCTGAAATGGTTTATTAGAAAATCTCTGGCAGAGGCAGCAACAACAAAAGGCTCACCAAAAATGTAAACAAAATTGTCAGAGGCAGCGGCCTCATGAATACTCCACTCTGTGCCGTGCAAACCAGATATGAAACCCGAGAATACGAGAGTACGATCTCGTAAACCGTTTTGCACGCGACTTTCTTATTGGCATTGACCCGCAACACGGGCACGATTGGTCCAATGTGTATACATATATATTTAACTATATCGAATACCGATTCTAATTCGCTGTCAGCGTGATGAACGATGCTTTCGTTGGACTCTGGCTGTCGTTTTCCCGTTCCAAATGCTTATTTATAGGTTTCGGTAACGGTGCCCATTAAATCGAGAAGGTCAAAAGTATCTAACGAAAATAAATAAAAGAAATGCTGTGCTACCTGTTCGTTAACCTTTCCCTTTGATATCGTCTTGGATGCTATATAGCTATATATTCTTACAGCAGCTTACGTTTAATAATCTGAATGAATCGATATAATCTCAGATCTCCGAACTTAATGTCCGTTTTGGTCAAGAGCTCGTGCACTAAAAGTGCCCTTAATATTGCAAGCTGCTGACTCACCAAAATCACTTCGAGTCTTAAACCACATTTAACTGCCTAAGATGTCATTGAACTTATCGGAAATCAAAGTTTAGTTACATATTTAAAAGGCTTCCAAGTGGGATTTATAAATATCATATAGAATTTGCTGCTTCTTCAGCGAGGTTTGTAACAAATGAGGCCAAGGCCTTGATATTTTAGACAAATTTCAGCAACAATGGCTGCTTAAATATGTGTAGAATATTTCTGTAATCTGCGTATTATTGTGTGTGGCTACATGTGCCATCTAAAATTAGCATATGAAGCTATAAATGGGGATCCATAAACAATAGACGGGGTGTGCATTGAGATTCTTCAGCAGAACATAAATAGTAAATCGATTACACGATATCAGCATATCAATGGCAATTTTACTACAAATTGATAATTTCATTGGGGGGTGTTCAGCGACCGCTGAACATAAATAACCTACCTGGAATTCTCGTTCGATTGTTCGCGGTGTTTATACAAACACAAAGGCGAGTTGTCTGTTTGTTTGTAAATAGCCAAGTAACAGCCGGCCCAAAAAACAAAAACAACAGTCAACTAAAATGCCGCTGGCGGTAGTGAAAAACAAATTTCCTCTCTTATCTCAAATGGCTTGCGACTCCCCATTAAAGCGATTGCCATTAGCCCCAAACGAATCTTTTGTTGGTCTACCCTTTCGCAAAGTGGGTCCATTAATTCGTTCTCAAGATTACTCATGCTCGAGTTCATTATTTTGCGATTTAGGTATACAATTTTTAATAATTACATAATTATTTTGTGAAAGTTCATGGCTATGCACCTTCTACGACCCAGTTTATATACCTTTTGGTTTTTTCTCTTTTCTACGTAGTTATCTATATCTAAATGGGCTTTTAATTGCATATTAATCTACCATTATATTAATAAAGAATATACGTAATGATACATATGATGTTACAATCAGATCCTTATATAGTTATAGCTCTTAATTTAGTTGTAAACGGTACTGGCATATATTGCTATCTTAAAGATGGCACCACTCATAAGTAGCTGTAAACATTGTTATCTTTTCTTTTGAATATTAATCAGCCAAAAGCTGTAATCGCAGACAGGTAACTCGAAACTTTTGCACCTGCCCTCCATTTTCAAATTGAACAATCTCATCCGAATTGTGGCCTCTTATCTGTCAGCGGTTTAGCCTGCTGTCTTTATTGCTTTTTCGCTTCGGGCAAAGATTGTTTGTTTTCTTTTAATTGTCAAATAATATTTACTGGCGGACTTTTGAGTCAACCGTTTGCCACTGTCATTCGCATATCACATTTTTTTTGTGTTTTTCGAATCGCCGTTTGATATGGCTTTTGTCTGTGTCATTCGGAAGTGGAAATTGTTTGCGTCGATACGCTCGAGAGCATGACATGGAGATGCCATTGGGGCCACAAATACATGTATGAGCCCACACAAACATGACGCCATGCACTGGAGAAAATTTGCCTGCTGAGATGGTACTAAAAAATAGTTCATGGTCTTTACTCAGTTAACACAAAACGCTAGGAACACCAGTTTATCAATATTACCTAATTGATGGGAAATAAATAAACTACAATGCTTATTAATGATTTCTTTTAAGCGTATATCGTCTTGTAACGTCTTGTAAGCTAAAAGTTTAAAATTTACTTTTGAAAATTGTAAATACTTCAATATTAATAAGATATGCATTCATACGAATACTAAATACCAATTATTGTTCGGTCCTTCAAACGCAGATGGAGTTGTTGAATTTAATTATGAATATGTTTTTTTTTTGCCGTGTACAAGAGCGGATTTTCAAATATCAGCGACACATGTGCAACCGGCAGAGTGGAAGGCATGCGTGTCCGTCGTCTGCCCCTGCCACATTGCCACTCCCCCTTTGGCCGCCCCGTTTACCCATGAAGTATGAGTTTATTTTTAAAGCAAATTGCATTAAAAATATCTTGCACTTTGCTTGCATTTGCTATTTCAATTGCAATTGCACAACACCTTGTTCTCGCTGCTATTTCGCTAACTTATTTTCGTTCTCAATTGACAGTGGAATATGCAACAAATGAAGCGCCATATCGGAAGAGCTTTTGCGTTTTTGCAATTAACTCATAATATGTCCAAATTTGGTTGTCGCTTCGAATGATTCACGAATTCCTGATGGGTGTATATGAATTTATCATTCCACAGCAGGCGTCTCGCTTGCGATACAGTGGAAAAACATTTGTGTATGGAAACATTTTACGATGATGAGCTACTACAAGTATTACCAAATAATAACGAAAATATACTTACAATCTCAAGAGCACATAAGTTTTGATTCACACCTCAAGTTTACCTATTGAAATCTGTGATGAACCGTTACAGCGTGATGTTTCCGCTATTTTCCAACACAATACCGATTAAATGTGCCAACAGAAAATTCAAATTTGGAAATTTAAGTTCGTCGACTCGCCTTGGTGTGGGTTTGTCAATAAATTTGTGACTACGTTGCTGGAATAATTATGCGAAATAAGATATACCGTTCGATCAATTAATCAATGGTTTATTGAGCGTTACTATTCGTTCTGGCTCGCTATCCCATTGCCAATGACTTTGCCACTCATCTTTGCCATTTTCCAGAAGTAATCGGCCACTTCGCTCACGAACTTGGTGGATATATCCTGCAGCTTCTGGCCGGTCAAGAGAGCCTTATATTGCAAGTCGGTGAGGCCTGTCTCGGATTCCCTGTTTATCAGTAGTGGAGAGTCCTTGAACTGCAAAGGGGGTATTACCAGTTTAAATACTTGATCAATATAGTTGAAGATATTATTACCTCTTCGAAAATGTTCTGCCACAGCTGATCCTTTCTGTCCAGCTCCACCTCAGCAATAGCTTGGCTTAGGCGTGTTATATAAAGAGTGATGTCTTGGAATCGCTTGGTCTGCGGATTGAGAGCGGTCTTCACCTCGGAGAAATATGAGATTTGAGATCGGAACAGCGAATTCAGCAGGTGGACTGTCTCCTCCTTGGCCTGCCTTTCCAACTCCCTTTGCACTGGATCATCGGAATTTAAGAGTTGTGGATTAGTGGGCTTGGCATCCACTATTAGGAGCTATTCAATGAAAAGCAATTTTTAAGTTTGTTTATGGTATGGCAGAACTTAAAGCGCTCCTAACCTGGGCTACTAAAAGTAATGGAATATACTTCAGCATCTCTTTTTAGTCATATACTTTCAAGCCTCCGCACTCAATGAATGGTATTTTTGAACTAATTGATGGGAGCACCACACACGTTTTGATTAGCAGTGGGATGTTCGATTCTCTCGGGAAGCTGATAAGCTCCCTAGGGCTTCTCCTCCTAGGAATTTTGTATTGCTCTTTCAGATTTCGCGGATGATAATAGGATTTTCCCAACAAATTCAGCATTTCTATGTCAACTGAATTGCGTTTCAGCTAACTTCCTGAAACACGTTTTTAGAACCGGAGAGCATATTGTCCATTGATCTATCTTTATTCGCTATCAAGGTCTGTCTAGCTGTCTGTGTGGTATGGTACTCGCATGTTTTTGTTATCAGCTGCCCAACAAACATAGGTTCATATGACCTTGACAAGGGTATAATAAATAAAAACATAGGTTTGCGTACACAAAACAAATATTTTGGGAGCCCCGTTGCAATATGTTCACATGTATTAATTAATTTGATTAAAATATATATCTTCATCGTTTCTGAAAGTTGTGGTCAATGAATATAGTCTTTTACTTATTCTACAGTTCTAAATACCTATTCAAACTATTTTACATGTATACTGTAATGCACTGACGCAGGTCGAGTAGTTAGTTAAGTACTTAGCATTTATTCTGCGAGCTCGATTTTTTAGTTTAATTCCTAATGATATGTGTAATAATAATCCCTGTAAAGCAACTTAGACAAAAGTGTTTGGATAATTAAATATTTCCTCTTACAAAGTCTACGCACTCACTTTACATTTAACATTTCAAACTCTTCCTTTTTTTTTATACATATCACCTGAAAGTATGCAGTAAAATTTTAGCACTTCTATGCTCAGATGGCTAAGCGCATAAGAAGGCATTAAAAAATATTAAAATCCCTCGCAGAAAAGTAGGCAACGCAAGTGAGCTATATTTGGACAAATCCAAAAAGGTTATTGTGCGATTTTATTAACTTTGGCGTCTCACGGACCATTCGAAAAACAACAACCTGTATAGTTATTTTCAAGTCCTGGAATTCCTTTCAAAAAGTCTCCTGGAGACGATCTTTTTGACAATACAACCTGCCAACTTTGACCAAATCAAGCTTTGCAATTGAAAATCAGAAGGCGATACTACAATTTTAATTTTCTCGCCACTTATTTTTGTAAAAATTTTAAGGCTGTGGTAGCTTTTAAAATAAAATAATGTAATGTTAATAGTAATTCAACAATCCTTGTTCTATATGCATAATACCCAATTGAAATAGGTTGCCGTTTTTGCGAGAATTAAAGTAAAATTAGAGTTATAAAAAACTAAAGAGCTTGAGGGCCTAATCAATTTTAGCAAAGGAAATGCTATTATAAGCCTAATCTGTGAGATTAGATTAAGCAAATTGCTAAGTTGTTTTTTGGCGTGTTTTTCTACTGCTGGTGGGCAGAGAAATAAACCAATCGCACATGTTTTACGACCCACACGTTTTTTACCACCGAAAATTGAATTATGCATTTGTGTTGTAAAATATAGAATTTATTCCTTATTAGCCTTATTAGTTTCCTCCCGTGATAATAGCAATGATATCACTCAGAGTACGGTCTCCGATCAGATCGTTGCAAATGGGAGTAGCCTGTTCACTGACCCAATCGGCAACAAAGTCGGTGTTTTCGTTGATCGTCAGGGTTACGAACTCCTCGATGATCTCGTTCAGTTTGCGGTTGAAGATACGGTACTGGGACAGGTTCTCGATCTGCGAGTTCACATTGCCAACGGAGGGGTAAATCAGGACATCCTTCACGCGCAGCTGGGAAGTGAACACCCCCAGGGAGTAGCTAATCTTGCCCTGGATGTTCAGGTCCTCGAGGGCAAAGAAGGCGCCACCATTGCGCTTGATGCGATAGCCACTGCCCATGTCCACCTCGTAATCGGTGGTGAAGTTGAGGCTGGCAAAGTTGATGTTGAAGGTCAAGCGACTCCTGATCACGTCCATGTTCATGGTGATAATCTCGTACTGATCGAGACCCTGCAGCTCAAAGTTCTCGACTCCAAAGGTTCCACTGAATTCTCCCGAGTTGATTTCAAACGACCTCTTCGCCGCCTTCATGGGTGCCAACACTGGGAGTCCATGTTTTGGGCTACCATTTTGCAGGACGCCTCTGAATGCCTCCAGTCCGTCCACAATCACGCTGGAGATAGAGCGTTCCTGGGCTGAAAATGAAGTATGTTTATTATATTTTCCTAAAATGTTCTTTATGTTCTCATTCTCCCACCTGACAGAGGTTCGGCAACTTCGGCACCTTGACAGCTGCCCAGGGCCACGATAAGCGTAATCAGGAATACAGACTTCATTTCTAGCACAGCACACTAGTTAACCCTTTTGTCAAGCAATATCTACTAGTCGAAACTCGCCAAATCCATGCCCCTTATATAGGAAAACGACTATTGAGATAATCTATCGGTACACACAACAAAAATAACAGTGTCTAGATTAACAAATTTAATTTTAAGTAAACTTGTATGTACAGTGAAAAAGCACTAGATATGGCTTATATTATATTTACAAAAACATGTCAAGAATATGTAACTACCAAAATTGTTTTATGAATTCTTCATTTAATTTAGTGCGATTAACAGAAATATAAGGGGCATTCCTCTGACATTAAAAGTTTATTTACCCAAGATTTTCGAAATTCTTTATACAGTACAGTGCTTAAAGCTTTTTCCTTCTTATTATATAATGTTAAATTATGGATACTAAATTTGCTTTCTGTGTAAGTGCTGAAGTAGCATTATTAATCGGCAATAATTGGGTGAAGTGCTTTATGACAGATAGGACACATCTTGAGATTAGACCGCCTTTGAAATATAATGATTGGTGATAGGTGTTGTAAATGCTAAGCCTTTTAAAACATCACATTAATTTTCCAATACAATGCAAAAAACCCACCAAAAACCTCCCGCAAAAAAAAGCCAGGTGACGAATTCTTGATTCATAAGCGGTTGTTTAATGACCGATGATTTGTTTACCACTCGAACTCGGGGGGAATGCAGACCTCCTTCTCGCCACCCTCACCACCACTGCCACCGGCTCCGGCGATGACCTCTGCGATGCTGATGTCGTCCAGAACGTTGTTGACGGCGGGCAGGGCAATACTCTCGATGGTATCGGCAATCAGATCTTCGTTCTCATTGATGGCCAGCTCCACGGCCTCGGCCAGGTACTCATTCATCTTCTCGTTGATGCTGCCATCGCCCAGGATGCCCTCGATCTCGGAGTCAACCTCACCCAAGTGGGTGCGGACCTCCAAAGACTTCAGCTTCAGTTTGCCGCTGATCACACCTAGGGAGTACTTCATAGTGCCCCAGATAACCATATCCCTGATGGCGAATTTGGCATGACCGGCACCGATCAGATTGATGGTGAATCCGTACTTCTTGAGCAGCACACTCAAATCGTATTGGGTGTCGACGTTCACGTCGCGGAAAGTGAACTTGTATGTCACCTTGCTGGTGATGGCGTTGACCTTCATCTCATCGATGTCGAACTCATTCAGACCGTTTAGGCGGAAGTGGTCAATGGTGCCTTTAGCCTTCAGCGCACTGGTATCGATGTCAATATCCTGATGATCGATTCTAAGAGGAGCCAATGGCGGAATACCGAGACCGGTAAAGCCACAGGGCATCTGCTCCTGAATACCCTCGATCGCATCCACAATCGAGCTGGAGATGGAGTAGGTTTCTAGTGAATCAATGGCTAGTTATGAGAAATATTTTGACATTGGGTCACATGGTATACTCACCAATGGGCTGGCCCACGGAAGCCGCACTGGCAACGGCCACAAAAGCCAAAATAGCCACGAAGATTTTCATTATTGCTTTGAGTGAGAGTCCTACCGACTGTTTGTAGTACCTACGGTATTTATACTACTCAGCCGTCCGGTCGCACGAGCCGCTTTATATAGACGATCCACCTTTCAGGTGGGGTTATGATAAGGGGAGTACTCGTACTCGGGAACGATTTGATTAGCCACCGGGCTTTCAATCGATGGCCTATTGCTGTCTTATCTCGGCCACCCATTCCCCGGTTGGCAAATTTTTTAATTTTAATTTTGAGTTATATATACATGGGGGTACTTATCCTGAGGAAATGATCAGATCTAAAAGACAGTTTTCACTAAAGCACAAACATTCCCTCCTTGTGGAGGAGTGTCAAGATCAAAGTCTGTTTGGTTAAGGTATTATAGTATGGTTAGCAAATTCCGAAAAGTGTTTTGTTCTAAACCCTGGTGTGAGATAGGTTGACTGAGCAGCAAGAAACTACAAAGTACTCATACACGAAAAGTTCGGTCTTACGAAAACCCTGCATTCATTTTTATTTTAAGGACATGCCCATTAGGGCAATTAAGGACTAGAGCTATTTGGAAGCTTTCATAAAATTTAATTGTCAAAGCTGAAAACGAACTCCAATAATTTTGCATGTGGTAATCATCTTTACAATTTGTGAAAGCTTGTTTATTGATATACAATCAAACAATTTTTGAGTGCATTGAGTGATTTATGACTGATATCCCGACTGCGGTATTTAAAGGTCTTACGATGTATGGATGGAAGTATTAATAAAGAAATCCAGACGACTAACACCTGATGGCCAGCCAAATACTCTCTTAATGAATTATTGGCTTTAAAACTTACGCCAGTCCTAGCCCAATACGTTTATCAATCAGTAGTTTACCAAATGTGTTAGTTCACCTTGTAAAATCTTAATCAGAACAGCAATAAATCACCATTTAGTAGGCCTTTAAGGTTCTGAGGAGTACAAAAAAAGACTCTGAAGCTCCGAAGACGAAAGAATTTACCCCAACGAAGTGATACGAATCGGTCATCGAGTGTAATCCGCCAACACCTGCATGGAGTGGTTGACGCAGTTTAACCCCCGGTAGTCCAGTTATTTGTGTATAATCCAGATCGCATTGATAGCCAATATATATTCTCTAAGCGATATTGACATTCGAATGGCCAATTGGCCGTCGAGATTAGGCCAAAACAAGCCACTCAAGCGATACAAGTGTTCCCCCTTTGCTTTGTGGTTTTACAAACCACTTGCCGAGTGATTTGATTCCTTCTTGCTAAATCGGAAGCCTATCGTGAATCGGGCGTTACCTTCATCGCAGCTCTGCTAATCAGAAGGAGCGATTAGCATGTGTATTTGTTAACCCGGTCGAACGGTCCCTTCCCCTCGTCTTGCCCTTCAAATCCCCAAACTTTGCTATAAAAGCCACTGACCGGCTGGGACAATCAATCAGGTATCGGGCAATACAATGAAAGCTTTCGCTTGTGTTTTTGTGGCCCTTTTGGCCTGCGTAGCAGCCTACGATGTGGAGCTGCTCACCGAGGAGCAGTGGGACCAGCTGGTGGAGCGTAATCGTAAGTCTCCTAAGCCATCACCCGACCAGATGGAGGGCTAATTCCAATGTGATTTCCCGCTGTCAACAGCTGTCAAGCCCGATACTCAGGGTCTGATCTTGAACGGATCGGTCAAGAAGGCCATCAACGGACTGCTGAACCAAATGCCTTGTGGTTGGCCCCAATACGGAATCCCGCCACTGGACCCCTATACCAATGCTGACCTCCGCATCCACTTGGCCGAGTCGGTTGTCGAGTGAGTTATAGATAATTGCGATGATCATATCAGAGGATCTAATGGTAATCCGTAGTGCCCTGCTGCAGTTCCTGCGTTTCCGCTTTGATGGCCTGGAAGGCATGCAGGTCAAGAAGCTGAAAATCAGCTACACCTTCAACAAGAAGGTCAAGTTCCACTTCAACTTCCCAGAGCTGAAGGCCAGCGCCCACTATTTGGACACCAACACCTTTGTGGATCTGCTGAAGGAACTGGGGTTGTCCGTGCGCTATGAGAGCTCGGGACCTTTGTCCTTCAGCCTGCAGAATCTGTCGATTCAGGGCGAGTTCAAATACAAGATGCCCTTCATCTTTGGCTCCATCACGATCTACAAGTTCAGTTGCGCCGTTGGCCTGGGCGGTGTATCCTCGAACATTGGCGGTGTTATGGGAAACGGAAGGATCAATGAGTTCCTTAATGACATGCTCGACAAGGAGATTCCGGCCTTCATCAATGGCAACCAGGACCAGATCAGCGCCAAGATCGAGGAGATCTTTGTGCCGCTGGCCAATGCGCATCTCACGGGTCACAAGATCTGGTATCTGTTCAGCTTGCTGTCCGCCATCACTGGCAGTTGCAATCCCACTCCCGCTCCCTGGTTGGCCATGGAGTCCAGGAAGCTAGACTAAGGCAGCACTCGCCAATAAAAAGCAATTCAAGCGAGTCCACGATCTACGTTTTAATTAGTCCCCATTCGGCCTGCTATCTCCGCTCAGTATCGCCTTTAACGCGTTATCGCCTGCAGGGGATTTTGGTATATAAGACTCTGGCCGGGGGTTGGCCAATTCAGTAGCAAGTTTAGTTGCTAAAAGCCACAATCAAGCATGCGTTTCCTGGTAGTCTTGGCCTGCCTGGTGGCCGTTTGTGCCGCCGGCACTTTGCCCAACAAGGTGGAGCAGCGTCTGCTGGAGCTGGCGGATCAGAACGGTGACATCGATCTGTTTGCGGAGCCCCAAGATGTAGTTGAAGGTGAGACTCGGTCAAACATTTCAATGAAACTTGCTATTTAATTGATTCTAATGACAATAATAGTACGTGACAATTAGTGGCTCTCTTTCAATGCTTGTTCTTAAATATTTTATTAGGCGACTATTGCGTCTAATATTGGTCGTTCTTATCATTTTTCTCAACACTGCATAAAGTAAAATATCCATTTTGTATATACTTGCAACTCAAAATCGATACCTATTCTTTAGTTGCCCCCCAGTTCGTTGTGTCCTGGCAGGCGCGCCGCTTCATCCGCAAGCTCCAGAAGCAGATGGAGTGCGGATGGCCCCAGTATGGCATTCCAGTGCTGGCCCCTCTCCGAGTCAACGAATTCGACCTAGACTTTAAGAAGGGCATTTTCCAGACCTTGAACCATGTGTTCCGCCTCAAGATCGCCGGACTGAATGAATTCCAGATCCAGAAGTTCAAGCTGAACGTGATCACCAGCAAGGTTACCTTCGACTTCCTGTTCACGAACATCGATACCACCGCCCAGAAGTACAACACTGATACGCTGATCGATGCCCTGCGCCAGCTGGGTCTGTCCGTGGAGTACGAGGGATCCGGAGAGCTGTTGTTCGATTTGGTCAACCTGCGCATTGCTGGCACCCTGAAGTACAAGCTTCCCATGCTGTGGGGCTCCGCCAAGATCACCTCTCTGAAGACCACCATCTCGCTGGAGTCCGTGACGTCGGACATCACTGGATTCATGGGCAATGGCAAGATCAACCGCGCCATCAACAGCCAGCTGGAGAACATCGTGGTAAAGGGAATTAATGGCAACCAGGACCTCATTTCCGATACCATTGAGAACGCCATCGTGCCGCCAGTGAACAAGATGCTGAAGGGCAAGGACTTCTGGACCATCGTGGACCTCATCCTGTCCAGCAGCGAGGGTGAGAGCGAGGACGATCCGATTGTCGTTGATTGCGATCCCTCTGCCGATCCCTGGGCCTAAATAATGGGCAATACGTGAATAAACACTTGTCGATATATTCAATAATTGGTCTACTTTTGGGGTTTTAATATTTTCTGGAATACCATTGTACTTCCGTTTCCTTCTCCAATTTCTAGAATCAATATGGAATTATATGCTCTCAATCTTGAATACACGAAATGTGGTTTGTCCAAACATTAAAAGCTTGACATTCCAAGTAGGGTTAAGTTAGAAGACAGAATTACTTATGTTTATTATACAATTTTGTTAGATTTTGGACTTGTAATGTATATGGGAACACACCGATTAATTCTTTAGCACCTGCCTAATCCAATCTAATCAATTTTTGCTACTTAAGTGGCTAATCGTTATTTGCTGATTAGGTAAGGGAAAAAACGACTTGTACTGTTTAATCACTGGCAGTTCCTATTTGGCATTCGTGATGAGAACTTCTTTTGTTATTTTTGTGGCCCTTCTGTGCTGCTCCCTGGGCTCCGCCACGCTCTTCGATGATGAGCTGCGCGAACTGACGGAGTTCCTGCGTTTGCAGATGCGATGTGGCTATCCTGCCAGAGGGGTTCCCATTTTGGCCCCGGCTCAGGTGGCCTACAAGGAGATCGCCATCAGAACTGAGAATTTTGGGTGATTATAATAAGGTCACATTAGGAGCTATTCTTCATATAAACCAAATTAAACCGCAGCTGCAATGGAAACTTTACCGATCTGATTATCGAGGGATTGGATGGCTACGAGTTCTCCAAGCTGGAATGGAACAACATATTGCATACCATTAAGTTTGACATGAATTTCCCCAAGATTTCGCTGAAGAGCACAAACTATAAACTTAATATCCTGGCTCGTCTGTTTGGCGCCGATTTTTCGTTGTGGGGCGACGGTGCCCTTAGTCTGGAGTTGATCAACTTCCGAGCCCACGGCAGCTTCGTCATTCGCCCAAAATCGGCCACCAGTGGAGTGTACGCTAAGAGCTGGAAGGTTAACTGGGAATTGGAGGAGGCAAAGTCCCAGACCACCGGCTTTATGAACAGTCGTCTGTATACGAAGGTCATCAACGATCTGATCAGGGAGTATCTCGATATCATGATCAATGACAACCCCACGGAAGTTTCCCAATTTATGGAGGAGCTCATTGTGCCGCCTCTGAATTTGGTGCTGGATAATCTGGCCTGGTATGAGATTACCGCTATCATTTTGGGCCTGGCCGAGGGCATTTTGCCGGTGGAACCAATTTGCTGAAGTGCTGCCAACAATCGATTGGCAGGTGTTCCAAGTGTTTAAGTGTGAATAAATTGGCTAAATGTTCATTTGATAAC